CTTTTTAGTTTCGGCACGTTAGAACAAATTTGTTGTATATATTCCGTTCTAGTTATTTTGACTCTCATACATTTGCGTCCGTTGCAGGAAACTATTCGTCCAGCTCGCGCCCTCCAGCTATTTTCTAAAATACCGACTGAGGACCTTCCTTTGTTACTGATGCCGTTTGGGTGCGAGTGGGCGACCCACCCTCGAAATTTGATTTTGCAGCGGATCCCGGTTCCTCCTAACGCTATCCGGCCATCCGTTGTTTCAGAGGTTAAAAGTGGAACGTAAGTAATGCAGATTTTCGTTTTATGTGTTTCTGCAGGCATTTTGAATCTTTGAGCCTTTTTGTTAAGTTATCCTTTCTTAAATACAGCCATATCTAAGTGCCTTAGATAGCCGGTCCTCTGATAGAAGAGTGGGGACCGCCCTCTTGAATTTATTCGGACCCTATTGCTAAGTATGTCTACCCGTTAGTTGTATTACTACAGTCTTTTCAATCATGCAACCTTTATGCAACTGGTTGTTTGCTGGAATTCAATGAATAAGCCGTGATTGCTCTCTGAAGCTGATATATTTCGGTACAAAGAATCATGTCAACTTTCTAACTGAGTGTACAAAGTTCCATCTCGGCTGATTTGTTCTACGTAATTATCTGCCAGAAAGCACTAAGGTCTCAGCGGTGAGCCAACGCCCTTCAATCTTCCGGACAGCAGCAGTTTATCGGTGAAAAACGTGTTTCTAGCTCTCAGCTAGTACCTGTGCTATGAGTACGCTAAATTACACAGCACATATCTACTAATACATCTGATTTTTTTTTATTTAGGGCCAATTTTATCAACTGTATGCATATTTCGCTGCAAACTTCCTATACTGGTTAACATCAAAGTTACTGCCCTTTCTTTTCAGTAATGAGGATGACCTTACGCAGATGTATCAGTGGATTTTGGCCCAGGCAGCAACTCTGGAAGAGGACATACCTGAGGCAGACCAGATCGCTTGTTTGGATAATTTGCACGCAGAGGTCGCAAGAATAATAAATTCCCAGTACACTGGCCTACCCCCTGTGCAAGATCATAAATTTATGCGTGGCCTTTTGCAACGCCTCTCCGGAAAACATGGCCGTTTCCGTGGAAATTTACTGGGAAAGCGTACCAATTACACTGCTCGCACCGTTATCTCACCTGACCCCAATTTACGTATTGATCAGGTACATACTTTTAGAATGCCTTTGCTATTTTCGTGCCAAGATAGTTGATCTTAATCCATTGTGAGCGTGAGTCGTTTTTTGTTCTTCTGTATAGGTCTGTGTCCCCGTACACTGTGCCAAACTACTCACCTATCCAGAGCGTGTGACTCAGTTCAATATTGACTTCCTTCGGAAGCTTGTCCTCAATGGACCCAACACGCACCCGGGCGCACTCTTTGTCAGTTACCGTGCAACGGCTCGAGATGTCCAAAATGCCGAACCCGGTAAAGGACTGCAGGCGGGAGGCATCCTTAAAAAGTACCTGGCTAATAAACGGATCCAGGAAAATGTCGCAAAGACCTTGCGCGTTGGTGACCTGGTAGAAAGGCACCTAATCGATGGCGATATTGTGCTTTTCAATAGACAGCCTTCTCTTCACCGTGTCTCCATTCAAGCCATGAAGGTAATTTAGAGTTGCATTCCCTTCTATAAATTATGGTATAGGGTATTTTTTGTCCTTACACCGTATTCATTTTCGTCAACGTAAAAACTAGGTGCAGTAGTACCTTTAAGCTAAAGCTTGAATCGATATTGATTGCCGTGGTTTGCCATAATGCTCGGTCGGCCATTATATAGGCTAAACAATTTCAGACCATTCCTCACATTCATGTACTCCACTCGAGCTACCACTAACTACTTGCATTTTTTGTGTTTAATTTTCACCTTATTTGAAATCCGCCCTCGAAGCGCCTAAACGGAGATCTTGTGATGGCTAATTAATTACTTTAGCCACTACGGGAAAAGTAGCATAGGAATGTGAGGATATTTGCTCCCCACAATATATTTTACTGTTCAGTATTGTTCAGCGTCTATGTAGTTGAAGTCCACTTATAATTTTTTTTCTGGCTTAGATACAGGATGTAATTTGAGCCACTTTCATCAGATGATCCGACTTAACTCATGCTCTTTCATGTAAGGCATTTGTGATTTGCTCGTATCTTATGTCATTTCAACCCGATTACTAGTCTTTAGTAGACCATTTCTCCATCTATTTTTCGTTCATCTTTATTGGGAGAATGAGATACCATAACTGATGCCTCTTGACTCACTTTGAAGTCCAGTTAAATTACGTGAACCACAAATTGCTCTTGGACAGTTTATTTTTCCGCGTTTATGAACAGTCTTGTCCAAAAAACTTAAGAGTTTAGAAATTTTGATAATATAATGGGATTCATTTCAGTCCTTCTCTCGGTACATCAGCTTTGCAGACGTTCTCTAACGAAACATCGATCAGTTGCTCAACTCGTTCTGACGGGCAATTGTTTTAGTCTTTTGAAGGTTGTCATAAAGTTGTTTGTCATACAAGCTTTAATTTGAACTCTTAATAGTAAAAGATTCGCCCGAAAATTTTGAAATTTCCGCTGGACTGTACTTACCCTTCGGAATCTTTAATTAAGCCCCACTTTTAACACCATCAGTCTTTGTGGTTTTCTTTTATCATTGCGAATTAACATTCTACCACCTATACTCTTAGTTTCTCCCATAAATTTCATTGTTTACTCACTTCTCCAACATCAGGCAACCGTTAAACCCAATCGAACTTTTCGGTTTAACCCGTGCTGTTGCACTCCTTTCAATGCCGACTTTGATGGCGACGAAATGAATATCCATCTGCCACAGACAGAGGAGGCCAGAGCTGAGGCAAAACACTTGATGCTTGTAAGTCCATAAAGCCTCCTGCTACTTTATCATTTTTAAATGCCTCTTTTCTCTCATCTCCATTTGTTGTTCCGTAAAACTCTAGACCCTGAAGAATATTTCTAGCCCAAAAAATGGTGAGCCCTTGATTTCTCCCATCCAAGATCTGATCACCGCGACTCATTTGCTCACTCTCAAGGACGTTTTCTTCACACGAGATCAGGCCTGCCAACTGGCCTGTCAAATTGTATCAGGAAATCATATCGGCCGGCCTCTTGAGCTGCCTCCTCCGGCCATTATGTGGGTGCGTTTG